GAGTTGTACTCGCGTGCTGCAGATCTTGTCTTAACTCCTTCTGTAGTTATCTGGTTTCCACGAACTTGATTCAGTAGAATTCTTAGATACCGCAAACACACTGCTACTGCGCGCTTCGCTCTAAACCAGCTTGAAAAGCCTTCCAGGCGTTGAAGCAGGGTGGCGGGTTCTTCCTTGTTCGAAACGCTTGTGGCTAATGATGATGCTTTCTTTACTTCTTTGTCGTCTAGCTGGAGGGGTTCGGGTGCACTCTTATTAAAGTCCCTCCAGTTGCCACGGTGTTCCCACAGAAAGGAAGGTCCTTGTAACCATCTTGAAGATTGCAGGAGGTCTTTGGGACTGAGACCACGAGAAGTGTCGTCAGCGGGGTTCTTTTTTCCGTCAACGTAATGCCACTGTTCTGGTAGGGTCCGCTCCCTAATCTGTTGCACTCGGTTCGCAACGAACGTATGGAAGCGGCTTGCATCGTTCTGGGTGTATGCCTGGACCACTTTACTATCGGTCCAGAACACTTCTTCTAATTCATCATATTGGAGCTCTCGTCTCAGCATGTCGCTAACTCTGACGGACACCACGGCGGCCGTTAGCTCAAGGCGCGGTATAGTGATCGGCTTTAAAGGAGTCACACGTGCTTTCCCCATCACCAGTGAGCAGTTAACTTCGTCGCTTGTGTCTACCAAACGGAGGTAAGAGCACTGGCCATATCCTTCGGTGCTTGCATCCGAGAAGTGATGTAGCTCGATCTTCTTGAGGCCGTTCATTCCCGTTAGCTTGAAGCATCTTGGAACTTCCATCGTCTCTAACAGGGGAAGTTCGTTTCTCCACATCTCCCACTGCGTTCGTAGTTCATCGGGTATAGCGTCGTCCCAGTCTAAGTTTTCTTTGCATAGCAGCTGTAGTATTCTTTTGCCTCGGAACAGAAAGGGGGCAGCAAACCCAAGCGGGTCGTAGATTGAGCTTACTGTCGATAGGATGCCACGCCTCGTCAGTGGTTTGTCTTTAAGGGTGATGCGGAACTTGAAAACGTCGTTTTCAATGTTCCATTCGACGCCAAGTACGCGCTCGGGAGGAAGTAGGTCGCAGTTTAGGTCAATTTCTTTGATCTCTTTTGCACGTGACTCTACGGGTATGGACTCGACAACCTCTTTGCTGTTTGACGTGAATTTGTGAAGTTTGAAACCGCCTCTCATGCACATCTCAGTGGCGTTCTTGATCAATTTGGTAGCCTCTGGTACCGTTGGGACTGACCTTAACCCATCGTCAACGTAAAAAGTTTCCTTAATGAAAGAGGCTGCTTCGACTCCCAGGTCGTCTTTACTATCATCAGCGGCAGTTCTTAGTGCTAGATTAGCACAGCCAGGAGAAGAGGTGGCACCAAACAGGTGTACAGTCATTCGATACTTTGTTGGTTCCTTTGTGGTGTCTCCTTGGTGCCACCAGAGAAAGCGGAGAAGGTCGCGATGCTCCTCATTGACGTGGACCTGGTGGAACATACCCTCGATATCACAGGCGAATGCCACAGGTTCCTGTCTGAAACGGCACAGTACACCAATCAGCGTGTTTGTCAGATCAGGTCCTTGTAGGAGATGGCGATTAAGAGAATGGCCCTGGAACTCTGCTGAACAGTCAAAGACGACGCGCAGTTTCTCCGGCTTTTTAGGGTGATACACCCCATGATGAGGAATATACCACGCTCTCTCATACTGATTTGGAGCCTTCTCTGCATGGCCGTCTGCTATCATCTTCTCCATGAATGTTATGTAATCTTGCTTGTACTTTGGGTCGTTTTCAAGTCTTCTCTTTAACTGCTTCAATCTAGCTTCAGCAAGTTTTCTGTTGCATGGTAAGCGGACGTTTTCGTCGCGAAGCGGTAGGGGGATTTCATAGTGTCCGTTATCTGCCTTGTGAATGCCGCCAACGGTTATATTCATGAACTTTAGATCTTCTTGGGACATTGTTAAGTTAAGGTCTTGCGTCTCCGCAAAGTCCTGTTCAAACATTCTCTTTATAGACGAAGGAGCTAAGATTTCTTTGCAGCTCTGTAAAGGGACAAACAGGCCAGTAGATTGTTCATTACCTACTTCCCTTGTTGCGGTGCAATAGCACTCGGCTCTTTCCCCAGTGCCGTCTGTTCGGTTTCCGTGGCCCTTTGCTCCTACCACTCCCCATCCAAGTATCGTACGTATTGCGTAAGGGTCGTTTGATTTTCCAGGTACTACAGATCTTGGCTTTAAGGCACGCGCACAGTTGTTACCAATCAGTAATCCAATACTCAACTGCTCATCATACGGCGGTATCTCGTCTGCAATTGTCTTCAGATGCTCGTACTTACGGGCGGTTTCAGGGCGAGGAATCTGTCCACGCAGGCCTGGTATAAGATTTCTTGTGTACGCTTTGGGGAGGGGTATATCAACCTGACCGTCGAAGCGTGATACGATCAGCCCTTCAATTTTCTGTGTGTCAATGTTCTCTACGGCGTGCATGGTACCCAGCTCTAACTCTACGGCAGGACCGGTTACCCTAAGGCTTTTCGTTATGTCGTCTGTAATGAAACAGGTATCGCTTTGGTCATCTAACACGGCATATACTTTAACTCGGCGATCTGGGTCGTCCTTGTGGTGGATCAACACCGGGAGAATCATGGAGGTTGTGGTGTCACTACAGCTCACACAGTTATTCGTGGCCTTTACGGTTTCCTTTGCCCTTTCTTCGTTTTTCTGTTCCGGTAAGAGGCGATGCAAAACGGTTGCATGTGGTTTCTTGCACAACTCGCACAGAGTCTTACGTTTACATTGTCTTGCTGTATGGCGAGGGCCGAGACAGGAGAAGCATAATCCTTTAGACATGCAAAGGTCTTGTCTTTCCTTGACTGTCTTTTCTAGAAAGTTCTTGCATGTTACGAGACTGTGTCTTCCTTTGCACAACGGACAGAAACTCGCGTCCTCGGGATCTTCACGCGAGGATTCGTCGCTCAGATTGAAATGGGTGGTGCCTCGTCCCCTCTTCTTATCTTTTCTTTCGGAGTTCCATTTCGCTTTGTCAGCGGAGTGGTTCCTTTCTCTCTCGAGTTCTTTTCTTGTTGAGGTCAGAGCATCATGCGAGAACACAGGATGATTGGCGTCGAGGGATGATTCTTGAGTAAACTCCACGAAATTTGCAAAGGTGTATTCGCCGTACCTCGCCTCTACTTTCTTCGCATTTTCTCTCCACTTGTTACTGTAGTGGATGGGTAAGCGGGCCGCGAGCTCTCTAATCGTGGAATAACTCTCGAGTTCCTTTAGGTACTTGACGGATTTCATAGTTTCTTGAGTCATGACAAGGAAGTCGCTGAATTCTTGGAGTTCTGTACTGGTCACGCAGGGCGGCCAGTTTCTTAGTTTATCCCTGTAGGCTTCATAGATTCTGAAGGGGTCTCCGAAGCGTTCTTTCAGTATTTTTCTAGCTCTCTTATAAGCGTCTTCTGTCCGCAGTCCTAACAAGCCGCTGATCGTCTTTTGTGCAGCTCCGCTGGTGTACTCGCCAAGATAATAGAGCTTGTAGTTGGGAAGAACGACTTGGTCTTCTATCAGTGCGTCAAAGGCGTTTTCCCATTTTGGATACTCTAAAATGTTTCCGTAAAATACTGGGGGCTTCGGAATTGGGACGGTCATCCTTCGTAGCAGTTCAACTTGCGTTTTCTGAATTTTAGCGTTCTCTTCCTGAATGCGCCAAAGCTGAGAATTATATTGCTCGGAGGATTCAGTCGTCGCTGCCGATTGTACGACGTCTCGGGGAACAAAGGCGGGCGTGTTAACGTCGAGTCGCGAGGGAAATTTCAGCGAACTTCTTGTGGTTGTACTCGAGATTTGTGCGTTTTCGTCGCGTGCTTGAGTTGGCGTTGTAGCCGGAAACTCTTTATCTTGTCCATTAGATTTCTCAGGGCTACTTGTATCCCCTTGAGGTTGAATAGGGGAATTGAAGGCGGTGTCTTTTGGCTGCCTTTGTTTTTCTGTTGGGTCCACAGAATTTGATGCTTTTTGTAGAGTTATGGTGTCGTTCAATTCGGATTCTTGAAGTATTTTCTGAATTGCTTCAGCCGCGGAAAGTTCTCCATGTAGCTTTTCTTCCTCATTTAGACGCTCTAGCTCCTTTTCTTGCTGTTTTAATTCGTCTCGCCGCCTGTCGATTTCCTGGAGCCTTTTCAGAGAATCTAATTTCGCTTTGAGCTTTGCAGTTTCGATTGCCGCGCGCTTTGAAGAGGAGGTTGAAGACGATCGAAACGATGATGGAGATTTTTTGGAGCGCTGTGATCTTTGCGAGAGGAGTTCGACTCTTTCTATTTCTTGGTCCTTTATTCTTATTTTGATGTCTGCTAAGCACTCCAATGCGGCATTATTTAACGCGACATATCGGTCATGTTCCCGTTGTTCTCTTTCATTGAGCTCTAATCTAATTAGCAAATCAATCAAGTTTTCATGTACCGTCTTCAAGTTGCCGAGTTCAGCTTGTAAACCGTCTTTGCAAGCGTTAAGTTTTACTAGATCCGCTGGTTCTCGTAAGGATTCATAGGCCGCATCTATGCGCGATTGTACATCTTTCGCTGCTCTTTCTTGTTTCTTTGCACCGATTTCTAGGTCAAATTCTAAGCCTCTTTCGGTGCGGTTTCTATTGCGACTTTCCGATCGTTCTTCACATTCTTTCGCATCGATGTGGCTATTTTCTTTAGTTTCTTTGCTGTAACCTGGGGCGGATCCAGGATTTGACGAAGGGGGGTTCGGATAAACGCCCGCCGAAGGCGGTAGCCCCTAGGGGGGTCCGGGGGCATGCTCCCCCGGAAAATTTTTTATTTTAGGGCCTCTGAAATGCGATTTCCAGCGTTTTCAGGGGCAATTTGAAGTGGCTTAATTGCTCTAAAGTCACCTCCATTTTTGTACTAACTACAGTAGTTTAAAGGATGGATTTTCTTAACACTGACAATAATCAAGACGGATAAACATTTTAAATTCATTCAAATTAAAAATTCATGATTCCTCAAAAATGGGATCAGCCAGCAACATTCTCCGGGGTTGCTGTTCTACAAATTTCTGGACTACAGCATCATAATCCACGGGTTTCTTGTGGTGAATATTCATGAGCGCCAAGCCAGACAATCTTTCTGTCGTCATGGTGGTCCGCAGGTAGCCTTTAACCAGCTTTAAGGTACTGTTTGCTCGCTCGTTGTCAGCTGAAGTCACTGGAATAGTGCATGCAATGCGCAGCAAACAGTGGATGTTGGGGAAAATGTCTGCGTCACAGACCTAAGATAACAAAAAAAAAGAAATAGTTCAGTTTAATTTGAAAGGCGAACATTAAAAACAAAAAAAACATTAAGTTCTGTACCTCTAATGCAGGTTGAAGTGCGTCTGGTTGGCTTCTCTCTGACTGCCACTTTCTCGTCCATCGATGGTACTCGACATCCAGAGTTTGAGGGTTTGGCAGGTCTGAGCGGTACATCTCTGAAACCGCATCAATGTTTGCATCTGTGTGTGACACGGTGATGCTTGGAACTAGACCCAGTAACTGCACAGCAGTCTTCTGAGTATTACCAAATCTAGAACAATTCAAAATATAACCACTGATCAGAATTTGCGTATTTGTACTCTGTTGTACTTTGTGTAGTGTGACTGTTATAACTAGAGAAGAGTAAGGGAACAGCTATGGAATCTGATCACTTTAAAGGGAAACTCGTCCTGAAGGTCGTCTTATTTTGCAAACAACGTAGGTAAAATGTCAAGAAGACCTGATAAAAACATATTACCTTGAAGACATCTCTTGTGTAATATGGTCAAGAAAAGGAACAAACAGATTGCGACGGTAATATTCCTCAGGAGTGTCATGGGGTGCATTTGCCCGGTGCTGCTGTCTTGAGGCTGTTCTCGGAACGCTGGGCTCGGTACCTAGGTCTGAACTGAGCTCGACAGCATTAGAGTACCATCTTTTGAACACAGCTTCAGCCTCGTCTCTTTTTCCTTCAACTCTTTCTCGGTATCTGATATCATACAGTATGCCTTCACGATGTCATTAGACTTCTTTTGCAGTTTAATGCTAATCGGTTTAATGACTGCCAAAGTTTTCATGGTGACTATTAACGCGATGAGAAACTGGAAAGAACAACATGTGTGGTAGAAGCCATTTGCCTTCTGGAGAGTCTCTCTGTCCCAGTTCCAAGGGGTTTCGGTACTGTATTGTTTGTGTTGCTGTTCGTCCAAAATAACCTCAAAGGTTTTAACAATCGACGGAAGTAACAGCGCGAACCTTTCGTATGCCTCGTGACGTTCAACCCAACGAGTACGGCAGAGGTCACGGATCTTAGTTCTCTGCGAATCCGGCTGATCAGCGCTGATTACTTTCTCCAAGCACCTCTGCCGCTTTGGAGAATAATTGAAAAATTGTGAAATCTCCGTTATAGTGCCAGCCATGTTGCGAACTGATGGTAAGCTACATGCTTTTACTATAACGAGATTCAGTACATGGGAATTGCAGTGCACATACAGGGCCTTGGGGTTTTTCTGTGCTATTAAGCCTTGCACTCCCCTCGCTTGTGCAGACATATTCGAAGCACCATCGTAGCCTTGGCCTCGGCAGTTTGAAATGTCCAGACCCCACTGGTCCAACTTCTCCAAGATCAAGGAAGAAATGACTTGACCAGTTATTCGATCGGTGCATCGAAAGTCTACAAACTCTTCGCGGATCATGCACTCTTTGTCGACAAACCGTAAAACCAAAGACAACTGTTCGAGATTAGCATTGTCAGTGACTTCATCGCAAAGAATTGAGAAGTACTTTGCTTCTTTGATTTCTTGAATTATCGACTCCCTTATGTGGTCTCCGATTAGCATTATGAGTTGATTCTGTATTGTTTTACTAGAATATCGTGCATTCGCGCGGCAGGTCGCTAGGTGGTTCTTTAAAACTTCATCGCCTGAGTCAACACGTAATTCCAGCAAAGCTAGAAAGTTGCCCCTGTTTCCATTTTGATCGGCAGTGCTGTCATCTCTATGGCCTCTCAATGCAATGCACTGTTTGCCGCAAAAATGGACGCACTTTGCAACACTTTTCACAATTTCTCTGTTTCTGTTAATCGTGCGCCCGCGTTCGCTTTCAATTTGAACTTGGATGTTTTTTTGCGGATTCCGACTTGTCGAGAGAAAATTATCGTATGCAACCATGGCATCGATGTGGTAACGATGTTTCTCATGTTCGCCACACACTTTACTTACTTTTGTCCACCGATTGAACGGAGTGGTTACTAAGGTACCTAAGCTTTCGCGTATGGCAAATAAAACGCATGGGAGACAGAAACCACCGTCACATTCCTTGCTGTAAACGAGCCAAGGATAACGTTGCTGCCAGGATATTTGGAAAGACCGATTACAACCATTCATAAACACTTTAGGGAAAGCATAATTCTCTCCTGGTCGAAAATGGTTATTTATGATGTTCAGTTTCTCAGCTTGATTTAGAGACTTAAAAGCTGTTTTCTGACGAAAAAGAGCACCAACATCAACGTCATGAACCGAACCATAACAAACAGGATCATCTCCATCTTTATCAGTCTGTGACGCTGCAATGAAAGCAAATTGCCATTGTACTACCTTTTTAAAATTCTTTTAATACCGTTTTGACATACGTTTAGAACAGGACAGGTAACAGAAATCGCACAATTTTTACAATACAACTAATGTTCTTTTTCCTTGCACAGAAAGCCAGGGTGTTTGACTTGCAAAATATTTCTGTGGACTTCTAGTTTAAAGAGATAAATAACCCAACTTGACATGTTTAAAATCAGTGAAAAGTCGTTCCCACAAATTTGGGTGATCCCAGTTAGGGGAAAAAGAAAATTCGGAGAGTTGGCAATTCTGCAAAATATCTCGAGCTTGATTTTCGGATATTGTTTCACATCCACCAGCGTCGATAATTTTAATGTCAGGTAAGGATTTTACTACAGACACTAAGGAAATTCCGCCTACTTGAAAACAATTAGGCATTCTTAATATTTCCAGTGTACTTTTTTTGTAAAGGGAAGTTACTAGACTTTCTAATGTAATATTTTGGCAACTTGTTATATCAAGTTCCCTTAAAGTAGGCATATGTCTCACAAAGTGTAAAGAAGAAATCGACGTATTGTATGCAAGATCCAAAGATATTAAGTTGCAACAATTCATTAATTTTTGTTCAATAAAAAAAGGGTCAGTAATAAAAGTTAGAGGTCTTTGCGAATGTCTAAAGCCTAGATGCCGTAAATCCCTATCGTGTCTAAATAACGAATTAAACGAATGAAGCGTAAATTCAGCGTTTGAATAAACAGTTCTCCAAAGACTAGAATCATGCATGACATCATAAAGATATCTGCAGACTGGTGCAAGGTATATCATGCGTTCTTCCAATGAGAGCCACTTTGATATTTCCAAAAGGACTTCGCGAGGAAGACTCATCATGGTAGCACCTGAGAAAATATTGGAAAAGCCCAACTCAGACATAATAATGGACCTTGTTTACATTGTTCATTTTATTCATTCCGCCGGCAAGGTCTCCAACAAAGCCGCATCAAACTGATAATGATCGTGACTCGACACACCTGCATGTTTACAAATTTTTCTTGGTTACTCTGGATTGTCACATAGAGAACAGAATTCTGCTTTAAAAAGCATGAGTCAGTGAAGTTAACAACTGAAGCACTGCTTTGCACCTAACATTGTGTCCGAGCTTTGATGATGGCAATGACGTTTTCCATTTTTATGTCATATAGAAGCTTAAGCTTTCTGATTTATATCACTAATTTCAAAAATGAAATACCTTGCTTTGAAGAAGATAGAGTTGTCTCATTTTGTCGAGCGACGGTCACTGGCAAATCTTCACTGCCTCTACCGGTTTGGGTCACTTTTTCGGTCTCTGTAAACACAAAATAAAAAAAGTGTTGACAAGTGCCAAATTGATAGCTTGTAGTATTTTTTGTTATGGAAAATGTTCTTACCGGCATCGCTAGAGCAACAAATCCTCTTTGCACTACTCGAGCTCTCATTCAAACTGCTGGAAGAATTAGATGATTGGTCAAAAGACTCATTATCTTCGCTGGTCTCCGATCTAGAGAAGAATATTTAGAATGTAAACTTATGATATTTCAGTTTTAAATCGATTCATGAAGCAACTCTCGAGAAATCACCACTGTCTGCTTGCTAGAATTAAGCGTACTCGTGTAATACACTAATCTATTAATGCTTACCTTGCTGATGACGGTCCGAAAAACCGGTGAATTAGTGGTTGCTTTGTCCTCTTCGACATATTAAGTCGTGAGTTGACGTCGAGGAACGTTTAAGTCAGTTTTCTCTTCAAAACACTCCCGGCGCAATCTTTGACTCACTGAGAGAACGATCCACAACTCTGATTTCCAAAGAACGGCGTGGCTTTACGCAATGCCGGAATTGGAATGATTGGCAGATTTGGCATAAACTGTCAGTTTTGGCGGGACGTGTAAGCGTTAATAAGCAGTAGTTTTATAGCTCAAGCGGACGTACTAGAGGCCATTTTCAACTAGGCACAAATTTGTCTTGTTTTTATTGCTGTTTTCGCGTACAAAGACACAAAGAAATATTATTTTCAAAATATATATTTTATTTTATTAGCTGAGTTGGTTCACTTTTTTTTAACCACGTGTTTGTTATACGTTTTCACATCACGTTCAGTTTAGGGGGTTCGACCGAACCACCCGAACCACCCCTAGATCCGCCACAGACTGTAACCATGTGCACCTTCAAATGTGTTAGCTTCTTCGCTATTTTCTACTTTATCGGAATCCATTATCTAATTCCAGTTCATAACTTGTCATGTGAATTTCCTTTCAAATGATTTGAGTTCTTTGAGTTCACTTAACCCTCGTTGTTGACTGTAACGGGATCTTATTTAATTCTCGGTACCCGTGTTGTGTTACGCGCTAGTTCAATGTTCATAAAGGTTCAATTGACCAGAAGGATCGCTTTCTTCCAACTTCTTTATTCCTTTGGTCTTTACACTGAAGTGAAGCGGTCAACTGAAATGATTACGTTAAGAAATAGTCTAAGTATTGTTACGTTCGCAGCCTGATCACAATTACAATTGCTCAATGCGCACGTGGTACATATAATGAAACTTAACAGCACAAGAAACTAGCGACAATCTCAATGTAGAATTACAGACTAATAAACTATCAAACTAAATCAAGTGTAAATTATTTCTCACCAACGTTCGCGGGTAATCACGTTCCGAAAATTTCCGTTTTGATGTACAACTTTTCTTTGATCTTTCTCACAAGGGGTCTTAGATGAAACTGAAATGCGAGCTACATATATGCTTAACTAAAAGCGTCACTAAAGTCACGTCAATCAAATCTGAAATAATTTCACAGCTTTACCGAAAGCTGTTACACTATGATGAACAACTTAATAATATAAAAGATATAACATTTTAGGTTGAAAACC